AAAATTAGATATTTAGGTATGAAATTTAGAATTAAGATTGGAAATTAGAACTTGATAAAATTTAGTATACAAATAATTTTATCATGATTATAATTAATATTATGGTTTAAAAATATTAATTTCTTTCATTTTAAATGTAACTTTTTAGATAATTTTAATTACAATTTAAATTTCNGATTTATAATTTTTATATTTATCAAATTAAAATTTAATTTTTAATTCTGATTCTAGATTTTTATTTAGAATTATGAGGTGGATTTATTAATTTTTTTTAAATAATTTGAATTAATTTGAGGTTGAGGTTTAAATTGACAAATGTTAAAAAATCANNTCCAAAAAGGCCTNATGGCAATAGTTCTGGTCCAAAAAGGCCGTTCTTTTTGCCTACGTGTCGTCCATNTCACTATTCCGTTAACGTTGACTAACGGTAACTTGGTCAAGGTCCAAATCAACAATAAATCGTATGTTTGGGTATCTAATTTGAATTAATTTGAGGTTCGGGTTTAAATTGACTAATATTAATAGATCAGATCNAAAAAGATCCGATGACAATAGTTTTGGTCCAAAAATGTCGTTTTCCCTATATTTGAAACCCAATTACCAATATATATTGTAAGGTTTAGCAAAAAAAAATAAAAAATTAATAAATTGTTTTGGTGGGTGAACAATTTGCTCGCTGTGAGTATAAAGTAACGAAGGTAATCTGTTAGTGAATAATTTAGCAGACAATATGATCTTTAGTGACCACTTTTCAAAAAGTAAGCATGATAATTTACAAGGATTATGACGACACATACTACTCAACGAACGACCTATACAGCAATAGTGTCTTACGACTTTTAGTAGGTTACGTAACGTCCGATTTCAACTTATTCATAAACAAGTACTCCCTAATTCGGTTTGATTTTATTAGATTTTTTTGCCTTGACCTATTTTTAGGCTTAGAAAATATCAGGATCACGTTCTAATCTGAACCATATTTTACTAATTTTGGCAGAACCAGATCAACTCAAGTCGAAACCTTTAAAAAATACGGTTGTTAATTAGTTCTGCATTGTAAGAGCAACTCCAACCTTGACACCATATTTGGTGTTGAAATTACACCAAATTTGGTGTTTTGGTGTCAAAAAAGTTTTTTCATCTCCAACCACAACACCAAATATTACACTATAAAAAAAATTCTCCATTATTATATTATTAAATTTAAGTTTTTTTTCTTTCAATAGTTTGATAAATGATAATTAATTTTAGAACTCATTTATTATAAGATAAATATTATATTACAATCGATAACGATAAATTAAAAAAAAATACAACAATAAATTTAAAATAGCAAAAAAGAAATTACATTATACTAGTTCACAGAATTAGTATATTCGGACCACAAATGTTTTTAAAAATTAATTTCTTNCATTTAGTTTATGTTTGTTTGGTTTTAATTTNTAATTTTATGTTATNAGTATTTTAATTAAACTTTATTATGTATTTTTAATCTTAATCAATTTGTGCTTTAATTTAGATATTTTGTC